TTTCCTGGTGCCTTCTTCATCCTCCCTATATATTTGAAAAAAGGACTTTTTATTATCTTTGATCTTGGACGTTAGTCCTAGCTCTATGTCCGCCTTAGCTTTCCTAACAGCCCCCCTACAGGCCCGAGCAGTGGAGGTATACTCCTCTTTGGAGATAGCCCCCACTTCCACAGGGTGTACGCCGCCTTTTTGGCAACCAGGCATTCCCAGATGTCCTTGGTGAGCCAGGGGGGCTTTTGGGCACCCTTGTCCCCCTTGCTTCTTGTTGGGATTGTCACCCCTTGGGCCCTGAGTATCATCTCCTTAAGGAATGACCACTCATCTTGGGCACTGAGTTCCCCTGCCCTCGAGAACCCCAGCGCCTCTCCCGCCAATCTCCTCAACTCGTTGAAGTTGGCCCTCTTGAAATTTAGGGCTACTGCCTTACTGCAGGCCCTTGTCACCCTGCACTGGATGATGAATTCAAGCAAGCAATGATCGCTATCACCCAGGTGGTCAAGGACCTGGATCCCCCTTACCAGATCATCGCCTGTGGCCAGGACCAGGTCCAACAGGGCATTTCCTCTGGTGGGACTGTGCACCTCCTGGGTTAAGTGGAGATCCTGTATCTCAGCCAGGAACCTCCTGGGACGTTCCGACCTGGCTGACTGCTCCTCCCAGCAGATGTCCGGGTAATTTAGAAAACCCATGCACTACATCCCTTGCCTTAAGTGCCTCTGCAAGCTGGCCTGAAAATTCCCGGTCCAGCTCCTCCCCTTGGTTGGGGGGTCTGTAGTAGACCTCTACCATTAAATCCCTCTCCCCACGACTCCCATGTTGATGTCCATTTCTACCCTGGGAGGCAGAAAGGTTAAAAGGCTGCAACAGCACTTCTCCAAGGTCCTTGCAGTGCTGCTCAACCTTTTGGTCTCATGGGCCACATGAACAGAGTGGAGCTGGTCCATGTGCCAGACTGGACCCTGTACCTCAGGATCAAGCTTGCCCACCTGGATCTGGACCATGCTACCTCTGCCCAGCTTCACATGCTGGAGATCAGGGCCTCAGGACCCCAGGCTGTCTCTGCCCAGTCATGCATTCCAGGACTGGGGCCTGGGACCCTGTGCCACCTCTACATAGTGCTGCATTCTGGGATCAGGCTCCAAGGCCCTGTGTCACCTCTGCCTGGCCCTGTGTGCCAGGATCAGGCTCTGTGCTGGATCTAGTGTGCCAGGACCAAAGCCCATGGGGCTCCCCATGGGTATTTGCAGAGCCCCACTGGCCAGATGAAAAGGCACTGGGGCCTGGATCTGGCCAGTGGACTGAGTTTGAGCATGAGCACCCCTGCCCAAACCCACTCTTCCACACTGTCTGAGTGTGGAGAGAGCACAGAGCTGAAATATTAAAGGCCACATTTTACTCTCATTGTCTCTTTGTACAGAAGGAATCTCTTTGTAGCCTGACCTGATTTAATAGCCTGTTTCATCAGAAGTTGTGGTATAAAATGAAGCTCTTATTTGCAGCCAGGGAATCTTCCAGACTTCTACTGATGCATAAAGGGATTAAAGTGCAAAGACTGTGTTGGAGATCTCATTTGGATTAGAACTGGATTTTGCTGGCAGTTCTTAGGCTTATTAATTAATTACAAGGGAAAATTATGGATATCTAAAAGCTGGTATTTAGATAAAATTCCCTTGGTACAAAACAGTAATTGAACCATGTAGAAGGGAAGATTTTTAGGCAGTGTGTGAGATATGCAGCTCAATGACTGTTATCTGAGGTTTTTCCATTTTTCCTAACTGTGAGGTGTTATCAGAAATGCAGCTATAGAAAAGTCTTTGTTAGTACAATAGGATTTGTGGGTTAGTGCTGTGTCACCAGCTAGAACTGCAGGCTGGTTTCTCCACTGCCCTGCCCAGTTATGTAATTATTTCCACCTGCATGAATAAAACAAATTGTAACCCTTAATTGGTAACCCATCAGCTGAAAGTTTATTAACATTTGATGTGCGCTGTGCATGGAAAATGTTACTAAACTGGCACTTAAATGCTGCAGTTAATAGGTCTCTCCTCATCTGGTAGAAATGGAAAATGTTGTTGTATAAGCATCCTGTTCAGTCTTAGCTCAGCTACTAAAAATCTTACGAAAACAGTTGTCTTGTCCACCTCAAGTTGGAAAGAGCAAGTGTTTGCATTTCTAAATCTGTATTTGAGGAATAGTAGCAGCTCTTGTCAGAAGTTAATGTGGGATATTAATAAGTGTGAGTAGTAACTTAGCTGCTAATGCTGTAATGATATGAAACAATAGGACTGTCAAATAGGGGACGTGCAGAATTGATTCAGCTATGGAGAATGTAATCAGCTGAGCTGAATATAAAATATATTTTTTTATCTATGCTCTGATTTCTTTCCCATAAGAAAAACAATCTGTACCCATTTACTGAAGTTGATTTTTTTTAATTCCATATATACATGCATACATATATACATACACATATATGTGTGCGTATGTATAGATATCCAGATGATACAACACGTTAAGCCCTAAAAATACATATGACTAGCTTTATATTAGGGTAACTATTCTGACCCATGTTATAAGCATTTTGGCTTTTGGCTTTGCATGTTCCCTAGGGCAAATATGGGATTTTAGCTTGTACTTGAAAAGCCTGTTGCTTTGTCTGGGGATTTCATTCCAACGAGTTTAGGCAGCATGTGATGCATCTGTTATTATTTCTTACACTGAGTTGCATATTAGATACAACTGAACCAATGGATACAAGCAAAATTAAATGGAGATGACCTCTGTGTTCCTTACCGAGGGAGAACACAGAGCTGGTAAGGTCGGGGCAGATTCATTAAGCCACTCAGTGCTGGGCTTATGTCAATTTCCTTGGGATCTGTGAACGGTTTCAAGGTAAAGTTTTGCAGAATGGTGGTCAAGAATAAAAATATCTCCATGCGAGCCAGGCCCTCTCCCAGGCAGATCCGTTTTCCTGGAAGAGGAAACAGAAAAGAAAGAGAATGCACAGATGCTGATGTTTTTTCTTTCAAATTTATGGTTAACATTGCAGTAAAATCTCCAAGTTAATGTTGTAAACCCAGAGCAATTGATGGTAGAAGTTGTATCTTTTCCAGGATGCTGGGTGTTATAAAAGTGTTGTAAAAGTGATAGAGAGATTGAAGATGCCAGTCAGAACTGGTTTAACAGAAGTGAGCTTAGAAAATCAGCTGGCCCCTTTACCTGCCAGGGCTGGGGGAGGAGATGGGTTGTAGGTTAAGTGAGAGTTCCTGCACTTCAGCCAGCCAGCCCACATCAGTGGGGAGTGACGTGGTGATGAACTGAGTGGAGTGGGTGGGAGTGACATGACATGTAGGAAAAAGTGCATAATGAGCAGGATGTGCGAAGCTTCTGTCCTGATTCGATTCAGCGGAGATTCAGCCCGATTCGGTGGCCGAATCTCCAAATCTAAATCAAATCAGAGGACTCTTCAATCTCTCCAAATCAACTTGGAACCCTCCAAATCGATTCGGAGAGATTAGGAAAGATTTGGCAATTCAGACATAGACACAGCTGTAAATGCTTTTTCTGCATACCTCTGGGTAGCAGGGACTCATGAATGCTGCGATGCTTCTGGTCCACTTCTGGGTCCACCGGGGAGTGCATGGGGGCCCCTCCCTGCACTCCCCAGCGGCTCAGTGACTGGTGCCTCCTGGGTCTGGGGGGGAACCTGGGGTTCCCCTGCGGCTGATTGCCCCTGCAGAGTCTCCGGTGGACCCGGTCCACTTCCAGGTTCACCGCCAAGTACGTGGAGGGCCCACCCCCACACTCTTGTGAGACACTCCATGAGTCTCAGCATTGCAGCATCCACAAGCTGCGCTGGTACCTTGAGGTATGCAGAAAAAACTTTTAAAGCTGTGTCTATGTCTGAATCGCTGATTCTCTGAATCAGCATCGAATCTTCAGATTCGGATTCAGCTGAATCAAATCAGGGACAGTGATCCGAATCAACAGATCGAATCACTGTCCCTGATTTGGGCCGAATCCAAATCCAAATCGAATAGGGCCCGCTTTGCACACCCCTAATAATGAGTACACATTACACATGTGGAAGAGACAGGAAGAGTTGGGTTCTCGCTGCGCTCACAGCTGTTTCATAATGGTGTATGTACATTCGCTTTGGTAGATTTGCTTCTGACTTGCATACCTGGCCTGTTAGCAGCCAAAAGAGGCTGATAACAGAGAGTGAGGAATGTCACAAGATGACTTGAGATGTGGAGAAGGAAGCAAGGATGGAGCAGGTCAGGAGCAGAGGAGACCTGGAGAAGTGTGAAGGGAGAAGTGCTGAGGTAGAAAAAGAAATGAAGAGATGCACTGCAGGTGGAACTTGTGGGGACCACTGGCAGAGGTGTGTGTAAGGTGAAGGATGAGCTCATAGAAAGCAGCCTGAACCTCCAAATTCAAGGATATATTCTGGATGAATGTTCCCATGAGAGGTAACCCTGCAAGGGAAAAGCCTGCAGGTGAAATGTCTTGTTGAATGGGACCATTAAAAGCAGCAGGAGGTGAAGATGGTGGGAGGAGAGTTGCATGATGCAAGGAGGATTGCTGGAGGGAGGAGTTTCAGGAATAGGGGAACAGGAATCTCTGTATGATAGTTCACAGCAAGAGTAGGATTCTGGAATAGGAACTGGAGAACTGCTGTATTTTGTCCACTGGGAGGAAATGGGGCCACGAAATATCCTACCTGAAAGGCTCTGTTGTTTTTTATATTGATACCAACAATTTATGGCAGGAGGTAGAAAATGAATTGTCTGTATTGGAAGAGGACACCTGTCAGTCTAATCTGTGCAAAGTTCAGTCCTCAGCATGTGCTGGCAACCTAGAGAGTCCTAGGTTCCCTAGACAGTTTGTGTTATGTTAAAACAACGTGAAGTCTACGCTGCTAATATTACCTGTGCAGGTAGGTGAAGTTAACTCAGGTCTGCCAGAACATGATATACCTGTACCTTTGATTTACGGTGTAGACAGACCCTTTAACTTCCTGACAATCTCATTTTTGCATGAATAAAATTATCTCCAGTTCTGGAATTGTTTGACTGAGTCTGAGAATGAATAGCAAGAGTTTTCCCATGGCCGCACCGAGAAGGAAAGGTGAGAGGAGCCCCAATCACCATATTTTCTTGCATACCCCATAGACTTTGTTTTTGGAAGGCAGAATAGAAAAAAAAGGTATTTTTCCACAGTCATGGGCAACTATGTGACATAAAGGCCTCCTGGAGAGAGTCTAGGTGAGGCAGCACACTTCCTGGGCCCTCTGTGTATCACAGAGGACTTACTCTGTCACACATGGTTAGGCCCCAAACTCTTGCAAGGGCAGTAGCAAGACTGTTACCCTTTTACTCTAAGTAGCTCCTATATGTAAATTCTTGTAAATAAAATGTTGTTTCCATACCACAAGCTTTATCTGGATACCACCAGCAGCTCACTTGCTGCTTCAGGCATGTGTCACAGTGCTCGGTCAATCGCTACAGTTGTGAGATGGTTAACATGGGACACCACCACTTTGAGTGCTGAGCCAGATTCAAGCAGCAGCTGTTCTGGCAGTTGCATGGCATGAACAGCATCTCCTGGCCTGTATTTCCAGCCAGGAAAAATCAGCTTCCCTACTTAACACATGCACCCCAATTTGAGGAGGGGGGGAGCTAATTTTGGGGGGAAAGTTGGGGGGAAAGGTGCATCTATGTGAGATAATATGGGACTGGCAAAAAGGCAAAGATGGCATCTCTTACCTGCAGAGAAGGGCATGAAGAAGTTGCTCTTCCTGAAAGTGCCATTTTCATTTAAGAAATGTCCTGGATTAAATTGTTCAGGATTTGGAAATTCATTGCTGTCATGAAGGACAGAGCTCAGGATGGGATAAACAGTGGTACCCTGAATGAACACGTGCAGAAGAGACAGGGTCAAAGAATAGGGTTGTTGAATGACATGGTCCAGTTCTCTTCCAAAAACAGGGATGTGCCTTGCAGCATAGCCCCTTACATCTCCATAGCGTCCCTCTGCCACTGGCCTGGTAAGACTTGTCCTCACTCTGAAACAGCTTACTGTTGGGGCATTTGTCTGCACATCCAGTCTCACTGTTCTCTTTTTTACATCAACCTAATCATGTGCTCCTTCTTGGTGTTAACCACATTGCATATATTTGTAGATGATCGTGTCCATTTTAAACCATTTTGGTACGGCTGAAGCCACAGCACACTTCTAAGGAAAAACCCTTTAAAATATACAGAAATACTGGTAAATCTTTTCTCTTCCTGATCTTTTTCTGATGCTTTTCTCTGAACTCCCAGTGACATGCTCAGAACAAAATGCTGTTTTGATCACAGCAGAAGAGCATGCAGAAATGATACTGTTTTCTCTCACCATTGTTGGAATATATCGCTGAATGCATGTTGCTGTATATTTTGTATTTATAATAGCCTCTTCAGGTAATTTACAGCATTTCTGTGTGTTAAGTTTTCCTCGCTTTCTGACTGTGTTTGGATTTTTTCTTCCTGCGTATATACACTGTATATTCTTCATACTTTGTTTGCTGTTCATATTTTTAATCTCTCTAGGGCCCTTTGTATTATTTTTCTCTTGGGTTGTGGAGCTTGTAGCATTCTTACAATGACATATCTTCTGTAAATGTCATTAGTGCTCACCTGCACTGAGGGAATGCGCAGCGATAGCAGTCCCCAGCACTGCTTTTGTGTGTGGGGGGGAAATCAGGCCCGCCACAGCAGCAGCTGAACGCACTGTCACCACAGCTAGTGCAGCCCCATGCACTGTGGCTGTGCAGGGCATGGTGTTGCCCTGCTACACCTCTGTTAGCACTCAGTTTACCAACTCAAGGCATCTAGATTCTTCCTGAAGATGTTAAATAAGAATAAACGTAACATCAGCTGCCTGCAACCTGCAATCCCCATTCTGCACCTCCTGCAGGGCATCTACAGGACTCTGCAGGGGACTGAAATAGAGAGCTTCAGGCCAGATTCTAAACATGGACTGAGGTTAATTACACCAATAAGAGTCCATCAAGAACTGTATAAAACTATTTGTGCTCTGGTTCCTGCATTATTGATGAAAATCACTGGAATGAAGAGGGCACTTATTGTGAATTTATTTTCTGCAAGGATTTAGCCATCCTGAGGAACAATGAGAACTGACCTTTGGGATGATGTATTGTCCAAATGGGGTGTCTTGGCTCACAGCACGGGGAAGCCCTAATGGAACGAGAGCAATGAACCGCTGGATCTCATGTACCACAGCATCCGTGTAAGGCATCTGGCTTCGATCAGCCATGCATGGGCTCCTCATCCGGCCAATCACATGGTCAATCTCTTCCTGAACTTTTTCTGCCATAGAATGAATCAGATTTAATAATAATGCAATAGAACAGCCCCCTCCAGTTTAATCCAGCTCTCTACTACTTTGTCTGTAAAATCATGGCCTATGGACACTGGGAATATTTCTGAATTACCCAAGTTATTGTCCAAATCACACATATGGCAAAATACAAGTAATATGATGGCTGGAGATGTTCTTACTCAGAATTGCCTAGGTTCAATATATAGTGCAGTGGAACGTGGTAGTGATTTGAAGTGGAAGTACTACACCTTGGAGAATTACGTAACTATTTACGTGCCCACAAAATTTTGCACATAAAACGTATGACTATGCATAATTTCATAATTTAACCCAGGCAGGCTCTGTGCCTCCACCTGCATGGGGCTCCCAGCACTCAAGCTGGGGGCCCCATGTCGAGGCATTGAGCACGGTGACTTGCACCTGGACAGCTGGCGAGTGGGGAGGGGAGCTCCTGCCTGCAGAAACAGGGGGTTGGCATGGGGTTTGTGTGTTGGCATGGGGGGCTGTGTGGGTGGGTGTGAAGTTTGTGAGTGGGTGTGCCCCTTACCCCCCCCATGGTGCACAGCCCCTGCAGGCCCTCAGGGTGCTCATGGCTGCAGCAGCATGTAGCTCTGGCTGTAGCGCCGGCTGAGTCCAAGGAGCTGCACATGGCAGCACACAGCTGCCCCAGCCTGCTGGCATGCACCTTTGTCCCAAACTGGGCTGGCTTCTTGCCAGCACATGGGACACACGGTACTGCAGGCAGGAACCATGTACCCTTGGGCTGGGCCGACTCCATGCCTCCACATGGGGCTTCCAGCACTCCAGTGGGAACCTGCACATGGAGGCATGGAGTTATCCTGCCTTGATGGTGCACGACTCCATGCCTCCACATGCAACTTCCCACTGGAGTGCTGGAATCCCTGCGTGGAGGCATGGAGCCTGCCTGGCCTGATGGCACACAGCTCCCACCTTCAGTGCCACAAGCCCCACATGTTGGCATGCAGCCAGGCTGGTCAGGTCCAGAGGCACACACCAGCAGGCTAGGCTAGGCCAAGCCAGCTCTGTGCCACCATGTGCAGCCCCTGGGACTTGGCGCATAATTTTGAATTTTTCTGCGCATAATTCCCTGGGGTGTAAAGTACTCGTGTCCCAGAATCTCTGGTGCACGGCTGGTGCAGCCCATGGAACTAAGAGAACTCCTGAGGGTCAAAGATTGAGAATGAGGATATCACTGGGACTTTGTCCTCATTGACAAAGAGTAAGGGAAAAGAAATGCCAAGCTTAAGAAGGAGAGTAGCTGGAGAGGGTAGTGGTGCTGGGCAAGAGTCTCTTGACGGGTACGTGGCAATTGTACCTTGTATGTCTGGGTATTTCAGGAGAATCAGGAGTCCATATCTCAGGGTGGTGCTGGTTGTCTCTGTTCCCCCGGAGAATAAGTCCAGCGTGGTAATTACAGAGTTCTCCGCATGGAATTCAGTCTTGCCATTCTGTTTCTCCTAGGAAGTGGTTTGGTATGATTATTTAATAAACATTCCCATACAGGCCCACTGTTTTTATCAAATGTTGCTTTCTGGAGTAATGTACAAAATCCTTAGTGTATTGCACCATTACTAGAGAACTGACTTTTTCAAATAGCAATGTACACAGCACTAGGTTTTTTATCTCTTCTTTACCACTTTCCTGTTTTATTTTGTTGTTTATACATCTACAATATACATAAATATTCTCCTAATGTTATTTTATGTGAACACACACTTCATTTGTCACATAGAAATTAAGTGACTAAACCCTGGAAGGAAGTGCCCCTCTCACTGTATACCGCTAACCAGGAGAAGAACGAGCAAGTGTAAAATTCTGGAATACTCTCTTAAGGGGAGTGGAAGCAAACTCTTGAAATAAGGTCAGCACAATAACACTTGCTTTTTTTAATAGTAGTGCTTGTGAATTTGTTATACTCATTCCACAGGCTGACTTCAGTGGATCTGTCCAAAGATGACCTGATATCTGGTGACATAATGTGTTCTGGGCAAACACTAAATATTTGTGTTTGAGATTTTTATGCCACCTTGTTACCTGTTCCATCTTGATGAGGAAGCAGTCAATAAAATCCCGTGGGGACGTGGGATCTAAGGTTTCCTCATGTTTCTTCAACTCCTCTGAGATAAACTCTTTTAAAGCAGCAAAGTTTATGGCCATCTGGTTGTGAGGTCCAGGCAAGACATCCATAAGAGATGGGAACAGCTGGTAGAGCTAGAAGGAATAAAAGGAAAACAACATCTTTGCTACAGAATACTCTTGCTCATAGAGATTGGAGGAGTTTCATTTGTCTATGGAAAGTCCCAACGGCCAGATTGCTACTAATACCTGTCCCCATTGAGAGTTCAGAAGATGGATATTGTCATCCATCTTATCTATCAGGGCCAGAAACTTCTTATCTTCATAGTCATATCGGTTTCCAAATACAATGGAGCAGATGACATTGGAGACAGTACAGCTCAGCAGGAAGGTGGGGTCAAAGGGCATCTCTGAAAGATTGAAAATTTTGCCATGAATGAAAAAATCCACAAACTTCACTTCAATATTGTGTTTTTTGAGATGCAACCTAATAACTATTGGCAGGAATCCACAGAGGAATCTGAAGGAATTAATGTGGCTGTTGATTGTGGGACTCCTGCTTCATTAATTGCTGGAGCTGGAAGCCATCTGGTGAATAAGTCATGAAACTGCAGGAAGAGAGAGATGACGATCTCTTGATGGCAGCTATTAAATGTCACCAGGAAGATAAAAATTCTGCCTCTGTACAGTTGCCATGTGATGCTGACAAGTCACATGAAATAGCTTTCCTAGGTGGCCACTCTGCACCTCTTTTTCTGGGTACCTACTTGATGTACCTGTACCTCGACTTGCAGGAGTGCTGAGCTGCAACAAGGGTCAAAGGGAGCTCTGTTCTGAACACAGAGGATAAGACAAAACACGAGGCATGCTGTAAAATCAGGTGCTGAGCGAACATCCGTAAGTGAACATCTGGAAGTGACTGATTGGCAATTTAGTCATTCGCTTTCTCTAGCTCCCACTGTACAAAATGGCAGTAGTACCATCTTACTTCTTCAGGGTGTGTTGAAGATATAGTTATCAATGTGTATTAAAATATTAGGGCATTATAATGAATGTGGAAAATCCCATGATGAAGTTTAATAGTTCTTTGTTTTCTGTAGCATGTGGATGTTGTGTAGTCAGTAATGCACAATACCTAAAATAGTGAGGACTGGAAGAAATACTACCTACCTTGTGGCAGACTGCATAGAGTGCCTACCATTTTAAGGGGAGAAGCAGTCAGTGTAGCAGCTAGCAGAGGGGGCTGGAGCTAATTATGGGTTCATCTGGCCCAGGGAACTTGCAGGTGATGGCTAGGACTGATTGGAGGGAGCCATCTGACCCAGGAGGAGGGCTGATCTTTAGGCAGATATAAGCCCAGGCTTGGGACAAAGCTGGCAGTAAGATCTTGGAGCCTGCTGAGAGAACACCACCTCAGCAGGATGGCTGCAGCTCCAGAAGGTCAGCATGAAGGATAACATCTAAAGCAGTTTGGAGGTTTGGGAAGGAATTAAAGGTCTCAAGGATGTTCCTAGGGACCCAAGGAGGGGTCTAGGGCCCAGAGAGAAGGATCAAGTATATAGGAACTATTGTTGGAGTCTTTGTGAGCCCAGAGAAAGGGGCCAAGTCTGGGACCTATTATAGGATCCAGGTGAGCCCAGGGAGAGGTGCCAAGTGTGTGGGACCTGTTAAGGGGTCTGGTGCCTAGAGAGAGGTCAAGAACGTGAGACCTGATGTGGGGTCTGGAGCCTACTGAGAGGCTGACTGTGGGAGCACAGAGAAACAAGGGGTGGAGAGAGCTGGGGCCAGAGGTGAAACTGGGCTGGGGCCAGGGGGCCACAGGTCTGTAGTCCAAGAGGGTCAAGGAATGGGGCTGGAAGCCCATGGCCCAGGGGTGATGTGTAACATCAAGATTGCTAGAGCAGGATAGCCTAGAGGTGGGTCTTGCGTATGACTGAAAACTGCATCCTACTGAGGTTTGTGGTCACAGTGGTGGGGCTGCTTGTGGTGGGGTAGCTCCTAGAAACTGCCGCAAACCCCAAGAAATGGTGAGCATGAGGCACCTGAAAACCCCAGCCACCCTGCCTTGTGGGTCACCCTTGGGCAGGGAAAGGCTAGGGGAGCACTAGGAGATAAAAGCACTGAAGGAGATTTCTAGCAGTCCTAGGGTCTGAGAGGGGGCTGGGTAGAGGGACTGCAGCTGGGGCTGCAGCCCATGGAACTAAGAGAACTCCTGAGGGTCAAATTCCTGGGCCCAAGAGGGGTCAAAAGGTCCAGGAGAGACCACTGTAGAGACTGCCATAGCTTGGGGAGCCTGGAGATCTCAGCTGACCCAAGGGGGGTCAGGGCCTTGGAATGGAAAAACTGAAGGTCCATATGTGGCTACAGCCTGGGAGGAAGGGGATCAAGGAGACTGCAGCCCAGTATGAGAGGGCTGGGGTGCATGACTGTCCTGGGGCACAGGAGAGGCTGAAAGAACTGGGCCTATTTACTTTGGGGAAGAGAAGACAGAGTGGATTTAATAACAGCCTTCAGGTACCTGAAGGGGGGGTTGAAAGAGTATGGAACTGAACTATTCTCAGTGGTGGTGGATGACAGAACAAGGAGCAAAGGTCTCAAGCTGCAGCAAGGGAAGTTTAGGTTAGATATTAGGAAGAATTTTCTCACTAGGAGGCTAGTAAAACACTGGAACAGGTTACCCAGAGGGGTGGTGGAATCTCCATCCTTGGTGGTTTTCAAGACCCGACTAGACAAAGGTACCCCATATTCACCCAGGGAAGGTGAGTATGGGGCACCTGAAAACCCCAGCCAAAGCTTTGGCTGGGAGTATGGGAGCCTAGAGCTTTGGCTAGGATGATCTAGTTGGGGATGGTCCTGATTTGAGCAGAGGGTTGGACAAGGTGACCTTCTGAGGTCCCTTCCAATCCTAGTTTTCTACTATTCTATGATGATGCCTAAGGTGGTGCCATTCAAGTTGGGGCTGGGGGGGGAGGTCCAAAGGAGAAACTGAGTACAGGAGCCCCAGAGCTTAGAGTGAGCCCAGCAGGGAGAAAAGGAGCCTGAGGCTGAAAGAGAGGCCCAGCAGGGAGAACTTGAGGCTAGAGCAAGAGTAGGATGAGAAGGGTCTACAGGCCCAGCGAGGGGCCAGGGAAAG